GGACAATTGGGCCTCGCTGCTTCCGTTGGCCGAATTTGCCTATAACAATTCTCTTCATTCTGCCACCAATTAAGCTCCCTACTTTACAAACTATGGGTTTCACCCTGCTTTTCTACCAGCAGCCATACAGTACTCTGCTGTACCTGCCGTACACGAAGATCTGAACTTGTTCAGATCTAACAATGAGTTCTTGCAGAGAGCTGTGTTGAAAGCTCAAGGCGACAATAAGAGGGCATTCGACAGGAAACGGAGAGGAGAACTGGATTTGACGCCTGGTGACCGGGTATGGTTATCCACTGTTATTTTGAAGTTGGCTTGCCCCTCCAGGAAACTTGGGCCAAAATACGTGGGTCCCTTTCCATTTATCCAGAGGATCAATTCAGTTGCTTACAGATTGAAACTTCCATTATCGTATAAGATACATCCAGAGTTTCATGTATCGCTGCTTAAGCCTGATGTGCCAGATCCTTTTCCTCAGTGCACTGCGAGGCCTGCTGATCCGGTAGTTATCGACAGCGAAGAGGAGTTTGAAGTGGAGGCCGTAATGAATTGCAGGAGACGCAGAGGGGGTTTTCAATATCTAATTAAATAGAAAGGATATGGCTCTGAAGAAAATTCCTGGGAACCTGAGTCCAATGTTACATAGTTACATAGTATTTGAGGTTGAATAAAGACATTAGTCCATCAAGTCCAACCTATTAGTATCTCATTCTAGGAGTACCTGTACCCAACCCAACCATTGCACACACCTGTTATCGGGTGTTTCACATATAGGCGATCAGCGGGTCCATAGCCCGCCGATCGCCTATATGTGCTCGTTCGCGTCCGTCTAATGTTGCTACCACCATAGACCCCTAATGTCTCCATAAAGAGGACCTGTCAGTGTGCCTTTGCTATTATATAGGGGGATTGTTAGTGCGTGCTAAAACGCTGATTCAATCATTCTTTCGGGCTCATCCTGAAAAGAAAAGACAGTTGGGCATCCGGAGGCTGCCCCTTGGCAGGGGGCAATTTCAGGGTACATCAGTCAACAGCCATAGTACAGCTATTGCCCTGACCGCTGCACGACATGTGCATGCGCGTAATCGGTGCGTTGCCGCTAGTACTGCGCATGCGCGTAATCGGCGCGTTGCCGCTAGTACTGCGCATGCCCGAAGACGTGCACACGCAAGTAACGCATTCCCTTGGCGCCAGGCGGGCTATTTAAAGATGGCTCCTGTATCTGCACTTTGCTGAGAGATCTTCAGCTGTAACCTGCATCTGTGTTTCTGCTCCTGATACCTGTTTGACTCGGCTTGGTTCTTGACAGTGCCTGCTTGCTGCCTGCCTTGTGACCTCGGCTCGTCCCTGACCATTCTTCTGCCTCCTGATCCGGTACCTCTCTGCTCGTTAGTGTATGACCCGGCCTGTTTCTGACTCTGCTTCTTTCGCCTGCTTTTGTACCACGCTGACCGCACGTTACCGATCTGGCTTGTCCCTGACTATGCCTCAGACTCTCACACAAGTATCGTCTGGTCTGCCATCGACCACCAGCTGCATCTGGCGTCCTGTTGTCCGCATCAGCACATCCAGTGTGTCCAGCAGTCATACCAGCCACAGACACTCGTGTCCCCCTCTGCCTGTATAACTACTGTTCCATCTCCAGTGGGGCACAGACGAGAGCAGCAAGGGAAGGCCTTCCTCGTCACTTCAGGCTCATACCAAGATACGTGACAATACCCCTGGCCTGTCTGCTCTGGACAGAACAGGCTCTACCACAGGAGATTACCATTCACCCCTTATTGGATATATGATCCGTGTTATCCGCTCCGCTAGATCTGTACTCTCTTCCGGGACTACTCCTTCCCCATTGAGCCTTTCCGCCGAGTCTAGAGGACAGATCATTTTCTCAATTTTCGCATGCCAACATGTTCCAAGTAGCCCACTTCTGGTCTTCAGGGAAAATCCCCAATCTTCAAGACCTTTCCACAATGGTCTCTCCTCCTCTGCTGCGATGGCAATTACGCTATTTTCTATCTAGCCTTTTGGGTCTCAACCCCCCCAAGGTCTGACATTTCAGACTTCGAGGACATATGCCTTTGAGGTGGGTGACTATGTGTATCATGGTCTATCCAAAGCACATGCTTTATTAGTGCTCACTTCAGACTCTACCCCTCCAGTGTTCCTACCCAAATGGGAAAGAAATTTGAACTTCGTATTCTTTCCTAAACAGAAGGGAGTACATCCTCCATTTTGTACACAAAGCATCCATTAATAGTTCCATTCAAGAATCAGGTTACAAAATCCTCACCAGATGGTACTATGTCCCTGTCACTCCGCACAAAATGTTTCAACAGACGTCGCCGCTTTACTGGAAATGTGGTTAAGCCAGTCTACAGAGTGTATGTATTGTACATTTCATGAGTCTTCATTCGCCACCAAATAGTGTGCGCCACCAAAGAATTAATAATAAAAAAAAAGAAATGTAGATATTATGATATAAATTATGATTATGCGGTGCTAGATACCCTATTGTACCTAAATAATAATACCAAATCTGTAAAAAATCCAATAATCTTAATTAATTGTGTAAATTAATAGTGAAAATTAATCATGATGTGCCACAAACAAACTATTAAATAAATGTGACCCCAGACTGGATAAACAACCATCCAGATATATATAATCACAGTGAATAATTGGTGACTTTATAATCAAAACCAATAATAAATCTTTATAACGTGATAAATGTCAATTCAAATTCATAATTCATCCTTCGAATCCAAACTCTAAAAAGTGCTGGTGTTTAGTGGTCCTCCCAGTGTTACACACAAAGCCCCCCGGGCAGTGCACACTCACCGCATATGCATCGCTTTTACACTTTACAGGTGACCTGAAGTCGGTATTGGATCAGACAGTTTTCAACGTTTCCTCCCAGTTGTTTAGCGAATGTATAGATATGTAGATATTATGATACATTTCATTTGGCACACTGATTGCTGTCTTGGGTTTCACTGACCCCCAGCAAGAGCAAAGATCATCAACAGTGGTAGGGTCAATGACTTTGCATTTTATTTATACATTTCAAATTAATCAAGTCAATCAATATAAGAATACACTTTTATAAAATATTATAACTACTAATTCACTTATTTTCAGAATAATTAATAATAGTCTGTGCTACCAGGTTATTGTGAGGCTCTAAACTCTGATTCAAACAAGGACACTAAAGATAACTATTTATAAAAGCTGCATGAGAGCTTATTAGTATTACTTAGAGACTCAACATAGTTAATTTTTACCTATATTTTTAATGACTCTTTATACAAACAATGACTGCTTCAGAATAAAAGGTTCTTTTGATGGAGCTGAGGTAGCTCCAGACCCTGCCCAGAAGTTGATAATTGCAACATTATTTAATGGGCAAACTTATCATTGAAGAAAATATTGAAGAAACCATATAGTGCACTCTGTAGGACTCAGAAGTGCTTTGCTTAGTGATGTGTAGCTGAGCTTAAGTGTATAAATAAAGTCCTCTTAATAGAGTAAGCATCCTGTTGAGTACTGATAGCATCATGTGATATGTGGCATGATATGGTAAAACAGGAAGATGGGGGATTTTTGCCTTCATTTCTTGGCAAGTGCCCACTGTAATTGTCAGTCTGCTTTTAGCCATGACAACCTGGTGGCTGGGGATGCACCAATATATTTCTAAAAAGGCATGGTCCTCCAATGGCCACCCTGTAATGTCAGCAGTATCTTTGAGACAAATTCCTTTAAAGCTGCGCTCCAAGCTGCTATAGAGAATAATAAGGATTACACTAATGTATTCATGACAAAATGTATTTTTGTACAATTTGCTAATTAAAATACCTAACTGTAACTTTACTTCAGCCTCCGATAATCTACTATATACCAGTATTTATCTGCATCAGGGCTGGGATTGGGAACCAATAAGGTCTGGTATATGCACATGTGCTAACCAAGAACATGCTGGCAGAAGGAGAATGGAAAGTCAGCAGAGAGGGATAAGTTCATCTGCTCCTTCACTGTCCAATCACAGACTGAGGTAAAAGTAGTTCAACATGGGTGGGTTGTCTGCTCGGGCTGTGTAAATCACAGGACTGGATTTACAGATGCATATAATTCTTTAGCAAACAAAAAAGCTCCCTTACATTTATTTCATATAAGGATTTACCAGTTTGCTATGAGTTCAGCTTTAATACAAGTGTTTACTATATAGAAAAGTGATACAATATTAGAGTACTTATGCTACTCAATATTCCATCTTTCCAAGGAATAGTGATATCGGCTTTGTAGCCTTATAATGAAATTAATGATGTTGTTTTAATGCCAGTTATCTATTTATCATTGTCTGCACTCTTCTCAATATAATTTCCAGCTGGTTTGCTCTAATCCAAGCAAAAGGGTTCTGCATTTTACACCATCAATTAGGGTAAATTAGTTCAACCCTTTGCCTAATTTTGCAATAGACTCAGTGTAATAACCCATCCAATGAACTATAGCTAGTGGTGCTTAATGATTCAATTCCCGATTATTAAGTCTTAACCATCACGACACATGGGCATAATTGACAGAAATATGTAATTGATGCACTTTTTAATCATCTTATATCTCTTTACTTAGGGTTAATGACTCTAGTTTACTGAGTTTAAGGGATTAGTTCAATAGGGAAAAAATAATGAATCCATTTTTTCATGCTAATTGCATGGAACACACGGACCTTAAATAATATGTATTGGCTTATTTCCAGTGGCTGCAATATTTGTACATTCAGATTAAAAATGAAAGCGTTTTCCTGTTACAATGATCATATGACTTTAAAACTGCAATACATATATATATATATGGCTTTCAGTACACATGGCAGGAGCAAGGGCCATTCTGTATCAGCGAGAAACCGTAGCTTGTCCAGATTTCCTTACAGGTCCCTGCTAATTCTTTGCCAAAACTAGCTGTGGATGTCTTCCTTTTAATCTCCCATAATGCCTTATTCGATTATTGTCAATGCTCTCCAAGCGTGTACTGTCCCTTCAAACATCTAATTCCCTGAGCTAAACAAGGCAGTTGAGTCTTAACCGTGATACGGAAATCAAAGAGGAAAAAGGGGGAGAAATCTTCCATCTGCACCACATACTTCTCTATTGAATTTTAACTGGATTATTGAGAAAAAGCAAAAAAAGCAAGTATGACATGTGAAACTTAGCACGGGTGATTGGGTAGAAAGATTTCACTGGTCATTCTAACTGCACGGAAGCATGGCTCGGATGATCTTCTGGTTATGCTACATTAATTTTAGGTGAGTAGTTAATATTACTAATTAAAATATACATTAATAGTATTGGATTAAAACAACATTGTTATTTTATAGTACCTGCTATATCATATTATATTACAATATTATAATGTGTCAGTGTATTGTATTTTATACATACATTATCTTGTATGATGTATTGTCATACTGAATTTGACTATAATTAAAGCTGATTTAACAAGGTAAAATCACTCTTTCCAATGTTGCAGGGCAAGTACAGGTCTTGGAGAATATACAGTTTATGATAATATTTACTCTGAAAATATAACACGCATCTTGGATAGGCTACTAGATGGATATGACAACAGACTCCGTCCTGGATTTGGAGGTAAAATCTGTGAGCAAAAAACTTTTCAAACCATATAAAATATCACACTGCAGTGCTTAGTTTAACAAGAGTTATTTGTAGTTCTTATATACAGTTAAAATATTTCCTTTTTTTTACTTATTTATGTTATTATGATGTAATACATTGATTTTTTTAAACCATTAATATAATTTCTTTAAATGTCTATCAGGTCCTGTAACTGAGGTCAAAACTGATATCTACGTAACTAGCTTTGGTCCAGTTTCAGATGTTGAAATGGTAAGTGTTAATTGGCCATTTTCCTTAAATAATGTGTACATGTTTAATGTTAGTGCTTATTTGTGCTATATTACTAGTGTGTCATACATTAAATTATATCAGTACAGTGTACAAGCAAAGTGATTAAAGCAGATTACTTTGTGTAATCTTCTTGTCAATACACAGTATGTCATAAGATACTAGTGCCCTATATATGTAGTTAATCGTTGTTTCTACAGATATCTTTATAAAACTGTAGGGATGAATTTAAGTCATGAATTATGTAAAGGTTAAACATTTTTAAGGCACTAAGCATTACTTTTTTAATTGTATCTACACGCAAACGAATTAAACCTTTTGACACATTAGCACAATAAATGATTAGATTTATTTAAAAGAAATATGTGCATATATGGAGCCTATCATTGCAGATTTCCTTCTAAAACTACTATATGCCTGTCATGCTGATCCTCTGACTTTAATGTTTTCTGAGCCACTGACCTTAAACTAGCATGCTGTTAAGGAAAAAATCCTAATCTGTATATTTGTCCCAGTTCAGTGACTCAAAAGTATTACATTAATTAAATGAGCATGACAGTCAGACATCTAGCATTTTCAGAGATCGATAAATAACAGCCTCCATATTTCTCTCAGTACTAATATCCTTAATTACGACAATGCAAAGACCCACAATGATTTATATTGTAACCCTTTGTACTCACACCATTGAAAAGGTAATTCTAATTTGCTTTCAGTTAAATGTCTGAAACATTTAAACACAGAAGGGACATTTTGATAATGAAAAAAATGGTCAAGCTAAACTTCTAACATATTTCCTGAAATATGTTGTAAAATCAATTGTGATGGAAACCCCATTTATTTAATCTAGGACATGACAGACCATTCATCTAAATTTCACCTGGAGGAGTGCTGCTTGTTCTTGTAACATAATGTTTTATCAAGTCCATTGCATTATAAAAGAAAACAATGGGATTTAATAAAACTGCAGAAAAGGAAATGCACACAAATATTCAGCTATTATCATTAGTGACCAATTATATTAAATAATTGGTTGACATTAGAAACAATCTAATTATTGTGATGATTTAGTATTTTGATGAATCAGTACCCCGATTGGGGTAAAACATTTTTTTTTTAAAGAATACTAAATGTTATGTAGAGTATCCCATTGAACTCTACACCTACATATTTTGCTAGCATTAAAATAAAAGCTGCCTAAAAAAGTAAATTAAACTTAAAACAACTCAAGCTTTTTCTAGAGTGTGTTTTGATATACATGTAAATATACTCTGAACATTTTACGTTGTTTATCTGTAAGGAGATTTAAAGTTACTCTATCATGGAGGAAGTATGAGGGCTTCCATCGCTGACTTTTTGGTGAAAATGCTTATTGCCTGGCTGTGTCTGACTTAAGTACGTTTTGAATCACAGACCCAGGACTAGCATGATGAATGTCGGAAACATGTCAGAATTCCTTATTTCTATACTTGTTCCAAGTACAATGAGTGACTTGGACAGCATTGAAGTCAAAGCATCACCATGACAGCCAGACAGCTAGCAATTTTAAAAGGAGAGTTCAGCAACAGCAGCTTCCATGGTATTTATTTCATAACAGAGTCCTTTTAAATCAGAAATAAAAAAGCAGCCCAGGAACAAATTTTGTAACTTATGGAATGGATAATGCTGGAGGGCCTGTATCCAAAAATGGATGTACAGTGTTCGGTTATCTCAACTGTTCTATGTGTCATCTGAACACTGGGGGTCATTTACCAGAGTATATGCTATTCACTTGGAAATGTGGATTTTTACTTTTCAAAGTTAGTTTTCAGTTAATTTAGTGAATGAGGGGAAGATGTGCTGACTTTAATCATCCAATCATACATAAGCAAAAATCATTTTTTCATTTTGATTGGCTATTCTTTGCGACGTAAATTTTCACTTAGCTTCACTATATTCCATTCTAAGTAAAAATTAACTTTGCAAAGTAAACGTACTACAGTAAATCAACCCCATTGTGTTTCTGTATTAAAGCAGAACTGTAGACATAACTAAAAATACAGTGTAGTTCAATTATGTAATCCTTACATTGAATCTGAAATGCCTTTTTTAATCCGATATTCTAATTACCTGAATTTTTTCTTTTTGGAAACATTACTGGTATATTATAATTCTGCTAGTATACTTATTTGAAATCTATCTACACTATGAGCTAATAACTGTGAGCCTTAACAAGTGGCTGTGTAAAGACATAATCCCTGGCATGATTACTTGCTGACTGAATAGAGGAGACTTCACCTTCCTCTTCCAAAGGTTATGTTGCTGTCACTTTAAAGTAACTACATAGAGAGAGAAATACATAAGTTGATGTTACTGATTTGCCCGTTCATCACATTGGCAATACTAATTCTTCTGTCACTGACCACTGACAGGTCAGTTCTTAGTTAACTCTTGCTGGCCTGGGTTAGTGATTATATCTATATATAGATATATATCTATATATAGATATATATACACATATATATATATATATATATATATACACACATATATCTATATAGATATATAGATGTATAGATATATGTATATATTTATATATCTATATATAGATATATACATATATCTGTATATATGTATATATATATAAACAGGGCTTGAAAAATTTTATAGTGTCTCACCAGTCAGTCA